GTGACAAAGACAAATGGTAGAAAATGCGCCGCAGCAATTTCGAAATGAAGAGCATCGTCACTTAAACTCGAGCCAGAAGTACGGTAACGAAACCGATTTCTTTCCTTCCTTAAGGAAACCTCGATGGATTAAAAAATGATTTGAAAATTCATTTTATGGCCAATCTACAATTTCAAGACATAGACATAGTCTGTCCAGTATTTTTAATCAGGAAAATTTAACACAATACCGGTATTCAAATATGAAAAACCGCAAAAAGACATGGAGAAGAAACCTTGTGTAAATCACTTTGACCTCAACACAAGTTGAGCTTTCTATACGGTTTTGTATCTATTACTAAGTAAACAAAGCAACGTTTCCAATGTTCACATTTCAAATGACAATTCCGTGATTTGCTAAAGAGCGGCGTATTGTAGAAACACAGCTTTAAAGGAAACGAACCGAGAAGTAATTGATCGAGAGAATAAAAATACCTGTTCCCGCCGAGAGAGAGCCGATCGAGCATCACTCGTTGCCATTTTCTTGTCATCGGTCGAACGACCGGCCCTGTTTAGCAAAACGAAACAGAATCAAAAACTCTAAATAGCAAAGCAATAACCTGAAGGAACAGAGAAGGAAAGAACACCCCAAACACAAAATTATTCATACGTCAAAACAATCTTCAACTTGCCATTAAGGGTAATTCTGTTTGATGTCTAAACATCAAAGAGAAACACGCTACCGCCTGCCTTTTCTCCTTTGAATAAATTCAAATTGTCTTTCAAAACAGTAGAATTTTGATTTAACATTCAATCATTTATCCGTTGATAAGTAACTTGATACGGATATTTATCAGGTATATTTCTCGACGAATAACTTCCCGTCAATGCTTGATAACGTGAACGTTTCGTTGGGTTGCTGTAATTAATTCACAAACCCTTCCAGGCAAAGCTAAATGCAGTTCTAAAATTGTCCGTTGCCTCGAAACGCGTAAAAACAGAAAGCTGAACACAAAAACACATGATGGCTCAGAACGTTAATTTGCGGTTCATGCAAAGTTTCAACCCATTTAAAAATGAAAACACTCCTAAATAGAAGAATTGCTGAAATAGGATTCATTTAAAAGATATATTGACTCCAACAGTGAAAAAAATGCTTGTTAATTTTCATCAGAATTGTTTGCTTTTTTTACATGGAAACGTTTGAATGACAGCAAGTTACATTTCAGAAGTAATTTTTAGTCAAGAGAAATTTCGGCTATTTTGAGAAACAACGTGAGGACTTAATCCAGAAAACCATCATAGATCGACTGCGAAAGCAAAAAATAGAAATTGACTTCACGATATATCAATTACCTTAAAGATTATGAAGAACGTACGGTGAAAGCCACTGATGTTTTTTTTTTTTAAAACAATCGGAAAGGGATGAGGAAAAGTGAAGACAAACATCCGAATCACTAGGCGGCAAATGATACAAGAAATACCCCAAGATACTTCACCCCAAATTAACAAATAAAAATTATTTGTTGGGCTGATACACCATGTTATCCAGACCAGGCAAACTATTGAGATAAAAAGTGAAAAATGGAGCGAAGCGAAACAATTTCTCTCTAGATATTCCGGCTTGAGTAATTTAAGTAACTGGAGTAAAAACCCTGATCAACCCCTAAAAAATGTCAGAAAAATTAACCACGGGAAATCCGACGGAATATAGACAAAAAAAAGTGACATGATAACTGTTACTCCTGACTTACCCTCCTTTCCTGAATGGACCCTGACCATAACGCGCCCTACCGGCGGGTCTCCTGGAAAATGATATTTAAAATAAGTAATTATAACATGACATGGTAGTCATGGGTGAACTTAACACTGGGCTTGGTAATGTATCAAATATTTTGGCTTGCACGAAATTCGTACAACATGTCAAGCGACCGAATAAGCCGCCCCATCAAGATTGATATTTCACTTTGACTAGATTCATTAACGGAAACGAATAACCCATTTAAATCGTCTGGCTCTCGACATGTGGCTTCGTAGCTCAACTGGTAGAAGCGCCCACCTAGTGTCTGGGAGGCAAGGTTAATAATATCTAGTCAAACCCTGAACTTTTTCAGACTACTTTTCTGTAATTTCTCGAATTGAAGCTGATATGCGAGGATCATTTCTTTGCTTGTAGACACAAGAATGACCGAAATGTATTTCACTGAGTGGCTCATATTCAACTCACCTGTGCTCCAGATGTCGATCTACGGATTTATTCACGCTTGTTTGCCTGTCGCTGACTCTTGGAGAGCGAGGAGCCTGGGGCGACATGCTCCTAAAACACATAAAAACAATAAAGTTGTTGACACAAAAACTAAAATAGTATAGTCCACTGCAATTGGGATAATTGGTCGTAAAGTCTCAAAAAATTGTACATAATTACCCACTGATACATATCAATAGACCGTATTCTGTTAAAATGATATGATAAACTAGAGAATGAAGTCAAAGTAAGTAAATCTATCGATAAGTCTAAATCTAACAAGCCTTTTGTTTCCAGTACGTTTTCCGCTGTTGTCGAGAGAATAAACCAGCAAGGTGCGTTGTAATAGAACAAAGATGCCTTCGTTCCTATCTATATTTCCTGCTTATTTATTGATGCAACCAAAAACGGGCGGTGCCTCGCATGGGACGCTAGTCCCGTTCGCACCTGCCCTTTTGGGTCAGAATTACTTTTGTTCCCATCTTTATTTATTTTTGTCTCTATGTGATGTGTTTTTGTAGTTAGTACTATTTTATAAACCCGAAAAAGTTGTTAAAAAAACTAAAACCACCTAATTTTGGTCCCAACACCAGAAAGAAGCGTCTCAAAAAATACGTACGATTTATCCTTGTAACACAATGAGATGAATGTATTAAAAGTTTTACATTCCTTTCATACAGATGTTGATATTCATCAGCTAAAGTATCTTACCCAGTGCTCTTCTTCGGAGTTCGCACGCTAAAACACAAAGAAACAAATGAGTAAACAAGACTGAAGAACTCACGTTAACGTCCTTCTTTGGCATTCCATTCGATGCCTTGTTTCAAGCATTTCGTTACTCTCTTGCTAAAGAAGAAAGGAGCTAGTAACCAGGAAACAGGCATCCTCGGCTTAAAATGTTCAGAAAATTCATAACGGAAAACCAAGGTAATTCTATTTGTCCATGCTCAGAAGACGGAAGAACAGGCGGGAATGGGCAGAGTGTGGTAGTAATCTAGATGCAAGATCAATGACCAAGAGCAGAATGTACCATCTCTCTTCTTCTTTCTTGCATACAGAACGCTCTCAACATTGATGACCCTGGCAGTTTGCAGGACGCTTGTCACTCGTGAGACCGCCTGAACCTAGTATGAGGCCTGGATCACCACCTTATCACCACCCAGGTGGAAAACCATTTGTATGGGACATCGGAAGTTTTTTGGCTTCGAAAGGACTCGAAAGTCTTTTGAGGCCTATGTCAACTATTGAGCATCTTCTTCTATAGTACCAGCTTGTGACAAGTTACATGCCTTTGGCAGGAACTTTAAAAAACTAATATGTCAGCCTGCGCAAAGTCTTTTTCGTTTCTTTTTAGGCAAACTACTTAGCTCAAGCTTCTCCCTCTTGCCTAAAACGAAACAAAAAAGACTGCTACGCCGGATAAAGGGAAACCTTATTCAAGGAAACGGCGCCCATAACTTACTCTAACGAAGTTTTTCGGGAGCCACTTGCCGTGCTGCCTGACCCTTCACTTGAGCTGTTAAACTTTTCAACAGGTGTTAACTCTACTCCAGAGTCAGAGGTTGTCCTCGTTTTTTCATCAATGATCATTCCATCCGATGAGGAACGCTTGTGTTTTGAGGTCACTGGACTACTAGCGGGCCGAGGAAACACTTTGGACAAGTTTAATGACTCTTTAGAGGTGGGTTTAGTCCGCTTGGTAGATTCGGAGCCAGTTTCCTAGAAGACAATTGAAGGTCAGATTAATTATTTTCATTCCCCTAAACGAGCTAACATTCTTGAGAGTGACCATCCACAACATTTCTCGACGCAAACTTTCCTAGCTCAAATTAACTACCAACGTTTATTGTACAATAGGCAGCTATCAATTAACGTTGACACAAACGCAAAACATTGACGATTATGGAAGCTAGTGAGCTAATCGAGAAAACGAAGCTGCCGTTCATTTAATCAGCATCAGGAACAAAGACCACGCGCTAGAAATGTTCAGATATCGCGGTTAGAATATAATATGGAGTAATTAACATATTCGACTTAACCCGGCCTCTCTGAGCTAGGATATTTTAGGCCGCCTATAATCATTTTAAACTGCAGGAGAGCATTAGAAATTGTCTGCTTAAATTGGTCGGCAAGCCTTGCAATTCATCTGTGTCCACCATCACTGAGGTTGTATGAGGATCTAAGGAGTGCTTATCTTCATAAAAGAAGAATCTCCAATATTGATCACGTTAGTAATATTCGTTGGGGAGAAAGCGTGGGAAGAAAGGAGAAAGACGGTTTTGTGGGAGAGAGAGAGAAAGGATTGGGAACGAGTATGGGAGGAAGGAACAAAGGAATGGTACAGTCCGACATAATGAAGGGAGAGAGTAGTAAAAAGGTTGAATACGACAGTCAGAATGGAAGAAAATGATAGAAAAATAAATGAAGTACCTTGTTTTGTATATTGTCCAGTTCTGATTCAGATTTCACCGACACAGCACTCGACTGTACACTCAAAGGAGTGTTGTTACCCACAGTGTTTATAGCAACACCACCAACAATCCTTGTCTCCGAGTGAGACTTTCGACTCTGCTTAAATCGTTCCACCTTTTCTGCCAGCTTTTTTGTGGCGCTCTTGGAATTCTTGTCACTGTCTGATGCATTTTCCACCGCTGATGCTACCGTCAGTTTTGATTTCTCTCTGTCCAAACCTGCTTGGGATAGAAAAACAAAAAAAAATAAAAAATGAGTTACAAAGTAGTTGCTTAACTACGACCTTGTGTTGGGAATCCATTACTTAAAAAGGAAGTTGATTATGTATCTCCTCTGCTCCAATTAAATACCTCATGTGACCCGTTGTGCGCATCTATCAATCATGTAAAGTTCATCTGCATAGGCTACTCTTTTATGTTCATCGATGTAGCGGTTTCAGTAAATGGGTTTAACCGAGGCCTTTTCATTTTCTACATCTGTAAGCGCCTAACCTTTATATTTAAGATAAACACGCATACTTGTTTTACCCTCGATTGAGAAAGAAAAGTAACATTATACAAAAGAGGTGTCTGTTCTAGATATGTCTACAAGCCCACAATTGGTCACAATTACGTTCTTAACTCTACGTTCATGGTATGCAGATGCGGAATTTTAGCCGTGAATGTCGCCGATACAAAATTTTTCACTTCACCATTGTCAGTTTCTTCTGTTTCACTGTCTGCTTCTTCGCTGTCACCTTCCTCATCCTCTGAGTCATCACGATCTTCACCGACGCGTATGATTCCTTCTTTGAGTTCATTTTTCAGCCACGTGGGGGCCTAAATCAAAGTCAATAAAACAACGCTATTCACGTAGTGTCTCTCTCTTCAAAATGCACAAAAACCTCTCTTACTCACAACGCTGATGACTTCATATGATAATTAATAACAGCTTCTTATTCTTAACTGAAAGTAACGAGAGCAATGAGAGATTGCGATTTTTTTTTTGTTGTTTTTTGTATACTTCGTGATTGGTGTACAAATCTCGCACTATCTTCTCAAAAACTAAAACAATCACAACCTGGTAAGCTTGCTTTTTTTCGCACTCAGGTGAATATGTGTGTTCGAGCTGTTACTCGCTCCAAACACACTCATGACCCTTTACATCCTCACATTAGAATGTATATTACCCATACTGTTTTCTATATATTTACTTAGGTCCTGACAAGGAAAATTTGTTCAACAATCAAGAGCTTCTTTAGTCGGTGATCATTTCCTTTATTCACATGACCTTAGTAATTGATTCAAGGATAAAATTGTAAGGAGAAATTAGACAGCAGTCATCCTTAGGGTCAAAGGGTGGGAGATTTTTTCCTCCACCTGGTGAGATGTTTTTACTTTTTACTGCTTTCTGTGAATGCAGATGAACCACATACTTCAGGAACCTTTCATCGACACAATTTTTACTCTTTCGAACCGTAGAAGCCATTCTTACCTCTCCCAACGTGGTGTCCAGTTCCGATGAGCTTGATCCCATTGAGGAGTCCAGACCAGCAGGTCCACGGGTGTTACCAGAAATACTAGAAAACAATATTCAGCGCTTATTAATGGATTAAGCCTGATGGCGACAGCTTGTATGAAAATATTTTGCAATTGGGAGGCAAAAAACGAAAACTTAAATTTGGGAGCGAATTTAAAGAATGAAGCATTTTACTTTCCTTTTCCCACCCTTCTGTAAAATCTGGATTTTTAAATACAGATACTTTATGAGCTGTTGATATTTTGATAAGAAGATGGCGTTCATGTCCTATCCTTCCATATTGTACGCAACTCTACCTTAGAATTACGTCGACGTCAAGACAAAATCTGTAAGTAATCGCCGCAATTGCAACTTAACGTGCGTTCTTGCTGATTGAATCACGTGCTGATCACGTGACAGGCGATACCTACCTATCAGAGACTGAAGCTTGTTTAGAGAGGCGTCTTTCACTGGCTTTCTTCGATGATCTCTTCTTTGATCTCCGCTTGGAAGGAAGTGGTGCTGTTGTTTCTATCTGTACGAAAACGTTGACGGAAAAACCATTAACGTCCAACAAGTAGACAGGAAATTCGTGCTCTTGCCCCGCTCCGTACATGCTGTAGGTGTCCCAGTGAAACAATCGCACAGGCGAAGGCATTGTATCATTGTCGCTGATTCGCAAAAAACCCGCGGCAAAAGTTTGGTCGCTCAGCTGTCCTCTTCGAGAGGCGTTCCTTATGTAGTTTATACACGGGTCTTCCTTTGATCCACAGTCACCATCAGAAAATACTCTTCAGAGAAAAAAAAACCACCAAAAATATCATCGGCAGTCCATACAACACACAAAAAATGACAAAGAGAGATCCGTTGTCGCGTACGTGGGGCGAAGAAAAAGTTCTTTGAGGCTGTAAAACGTGTTCGACATACCCTCAAGATTATCAAAAGAGAGAGAAATATGGTAGAATGCTAAAAAGGTCGTCAAATTAAAACTTTAGTAGTCTTTTTTTGACATTTTTTATCATCACTGAAACCCAAACATATGGATATTTGTGCTACTCTCGAGCTTGGGTTACATTCCCGAGCGCGGAGCTGTACCTTGTTTTTGAAGACTGGGCCCCCAAGTAAACAAACTTACTCTTAAATCCATTTAGACTCCGATGTAAACAGCAAAGAACCCAAAAGAATGTCACACTGTCCACTCACCCGTCAACTGATTTCTGCATCAAACTAGCACTGCTGCCATTAAGGTCTTCTTGAACTCCGTCCTTCCTTTTCTTGTAAGACTGTGGCATCGAGAATCCTTCCTGCATGCCCTCTTTTCTGCCCCGTTCGAGTCTTGACGAGCTTGAATTTTCAAGCACGCCTTCTCTTCTTTTCTTTGTATCTTTTGATAGAGATGATTGGTTTCCGCTGTTATGATCGCTCTTATTCCTGAATATAAATATATAAATAAATAAATCCGCGATGATTCGTGTCAGGGTTCAACCCAGACCACCTTTTCCCCGAGAAACGTTATTTGTTTAACATTCGGCTTACCCAGTAGAAATTTCCAAGCTGTCAGCGCTACCGATACTCAAGCTTCCGCTGGGATTTCGCATATGTCTCTTGCAGCTTCCTTCAGTATCCGTCTTCTCTCCACTCTCACTCTGACTGCGTCTGTAATCAGCGGGTCTCGTTCCCCAGAAATACAAGTCGTTATCATTCGTTCCGGCCAGCGTGAAGCCTTTGCCGCAAAAAATCATCTGAAAGAAAAACCAAGTAAAAATTAAGAGGCCGGAAAAACTGGAAATGATACAAAATTAATCAATCTTGCGAGAGACTGTTGCGCTGATATCATACCAAATTCTCTTAACTTATTTCAAGGAGGAAAGAATGACTAAATAGATCTTCGAAGTAAAGGGTTAAGGCTCCAGATCGATCAGCTAAAACTACCAGCGGGAGGCGGAGAAGCGTGGGGGGGGGGAAGGGAACAGGAAAGCTTAGTGATTGGCAGAGATGACCCGACATTTCCCGTCAATCTACAGCGTTTTTCAACCCGAATGGCATAAATGAAGGGGATAACAAATCAGATAAATATGTGCGCCAGGATAGAATGGGGCTTATATTTATACCTTCTCCAATAAAGTGTGACGCAGACATACAATATTAGTATTAGTATTAGAAATTTCTCCCAACTTGCAAGCAAATATCACACTCATTTCTTAAATGCGAACTAAACCGATGAACGAAGGATGGAACAGACGCACAAACGAACCGACGAAGACGATTGAATCAAGTACGTAATTCACTCCTCATTACACAATCTGTATCTAAAATTAAAGCCATCTCACCGTGGTCGTCTTTTCCTCTAAAGCCTTAACAATGGCTGGTACCTCTCGAGGTTTACAGTTGTTGCAGGCAAGCTGCCCATACTGATTGTCGCCAAACGTGTAAACCAAACCAGGCTCTACAAGCGCTGCACTGTGGGCGGGACCCAAAGATACATCAAGCACGCGGTGCTTGGATAACACTTTGACAGCTGTAGGAACATTCTTGCCATCAACCTGAACCTGTTCAGTTTGGAAAACAACATAACGTTAACGATAGTTTTGATTTGATTGAGTGTCGTGAACCGACAACCAAAGTAAATGTGTTGAATCAGAACTTAGGTGAGCGTCGGAGGGAGCCGATCGGAACTCAGAATAAATACCAAAAATGGAATGAGCCATTTTACAATGGCTGAGGGTGACTTTGTTATGATAGGGACCAGTATCTAGTTCGCATAATAGCCAAGTAATTTACCATTGAAAAGCAGCAATGTTTGTATCATAACAAGGTCACCCTCAGCCTCACTCGTGTTCAAAGGCTTGGCAACCAGGAAAACGAAAGTAACAAAAGCGAGATAGATTCATCTTTTGTATAGGATTGTTTCCATCTATACCAGCTTTCACTAAAGTTAGGAGCCCAGGAGCCAGTTAATGGGCTCCTGCTAAAGTTCGCAATAACGAGCTTGCTGCCAGGTTAAAAAGGAAAAAAGTACACATACAATGACTGAAGTCCAGCTTTGCACGATACGTGCTGCGACAAACTTACAACACCGATGACACCACACGCCTTAGTTGTACCTTATTTAGGAGGTTCTTCATCTGCATAAGGAATCCCTGGCGGTTGTTAAGTCCAAGCTTGTTGTTTGCATTGCTGTTACAGAGGGAGTCAACAAATAAAAGTCAGTAATTAATGGCAAAGGTATGTAACCTACTTTGGGTCAAATGCATCTGGTTGGGGTTAATGTAAGTTATGAAGTCAATATTGCAGAACCAAAAACTACAACAACATAAAACAAAAGGCACCAGCAATTCTTCTCCACCGCCGCGGAAAATGAGTATTATTCTAAGACTGAGTAATGTGACTCCTTTCTCCCGCCTCATTTTCCCACTAGGGTTCATGTTTCCATGCTAAATGTTGGTGTGTCAAACAATTGCCACGCCACATTCGATAATACTATAATTGTGACTCGTGAGCGTGCGGTTGAAAATCCTTCTGCGATAGAGGGCATCTTAAATTCGCGAACAGAACTATACTATAAGCGTAATGTTCAACGAGTTTGCTTGAAATTTCCGAAAAGTATCTGATGAGTCTTTGGGCCGAGACGAAAAGCCATGTTATACCAGCCACAAAGTATTTTTTAAAATGTATTGGACAATTTTTTTAATGAAATTAGAAGATCCTCGCAGCTAAGAACACTACTGAAACTAGTAGTTGCAAGTAGGACCTGAAAAAAATTTCAGGCCCGTACGGGATATGAACCCATGACCTCTGCGATACCGGTGCAGCGCTCTACCAATTGAGCTAACAAGCCAACTGGGAGCTGGTCAATGAATTGGGTACAAATAAACATCCGAATGAATGAAGATTTCTTAGCTGCGAGGATCTTCTAATTTCATCTTTCCACCGCAGTGCAAATATGTGAATTTTCATATATCTAAAATCTTAATTTTTTTAATATTCGAAAGCTTCTGAGTTTCCCTCTATTATCACTTTCATATCTGTAGTTTTCAAAACCTGTTTGAACAGAGAAGGCAAAACTACTTTGTACAAACCTGCCACAAGCGAGAAGGGCCCCTGTATCAGTGAGAAACATTGTTCCATCATAACCGCACCTGACCTGTTTTATAGACACGGTGTCATCTATCGCTGTCACCTCTGTGGGAATGCAGCTGTTGGGAATTAAAAAAACATCATATTCTGCACAAGAAGCCCAAGCTACTGCTTGATGAGTTACCAAGAGTACAATTCTAGCTTTTTAAAAAACCGCGACTGGGACAACAAGGAGACTTTCTAAGAAAGCCAACGGAGATCGAAAGTATATATTCTAGCATATATTTAAAGATCATTTACAAGTATTGTATTGGAAATGTAATCGTTCTCCCAATGGAAAAAGCCGCTTCGCCTCGTCGCTATCCACGAGCTGATAGATTTCGTGACACAGCTAGTCACGCTGATTGGGTTTAACTACACTCGCTTCTACGCTTTTCAATCAGACAAATTTGTGTTAAAATAGCAAATAGTGTCGTTACACGTGACAAGCCTCAAAATATGAGGACGTCTCTTCAAACATTGCATTTGACATTGGCTTTGTGGATCAATATCAGTATCTTGGCAACCGCCCACCTACCCCTCCCCTAACTCAACAACAGTCTATTGATAACAAGTTATGGTTAATGTTGGGTTAGAGGAGGGGTAGGTGGGCAGTTGCCCAGATACTGATATATGAATCACTTACCGATTATCTTCGTCTCCCAGACCCAGTCTCCCATCTTCTCCACAGCCCCATGAGAACACCATACCATCACTGGTTACCACGGCAACATGAGCATTGCCGCAGCTGACAGATGTCACATCAAAACTCAACAACGCTTCAATCAACTTTGGTTTGGATGAACTGGACCAGTCTCCATGCCCCAAACAGCCGAGTTCACCCTGCCCACACGTCATCACAATACCATTGTCTGTTACAAACACCGTGAATTTATCTCCACAGCTAACTCTGAGGACAAAAATGAAAGGAAAACATAGTGATCATTTGTGACAAGGAAACATTTTTCCCTAGTTGAGATTTATATCATTCAACATATTTTTACGCTTAAATTTTGCGATTACTTTGATTTCTAAGGTGCTTTAAGATTGCTTTCTCAAAAGAAAGATCTTCTTTCCGTCTTGTCACGAGCGTACGGCAAAGAAAATCCTAGTGGGGAATCAAAACTCAGCCCTTAGGATTCCACGCTCCAACGCCCCGTCACTGAGCCACAGAGAACTCAATTACGGGCTAGTCCATGGCTAAGTTCACATGAGACATGCTTCCTGCATACTGCTAGGATGAGCAATGTCAATAGCTTCATTCGAGTATATTTCCTCTTATTGTTCTGGTTTGCCGTAGTGATAAGTTCGGTTTGGGTTTTCGGTTTTAAAAACGTACTCTAAGTAAAAGGTAAATGATCTTCTTGGCACTATTTTCCACAAAGAGACGAAAGAACGATGACAGTGATACTGAGACTTGCCACAATCAAATGATTACGCTGATCAACAAATCGTACCATCACAAAGTTTTTTATTAACCCAGGCCCTACCTCCAAATAGTTTTAGCTTTGAGTGCTTCTACTTGTGTGGGTTTGTCTTGACTGCAAGTATCTCCATGACCAAGCTGTCCACAGCAGTTACTGCCCCATGTGTATACTGCATGTTCCATTGTTACCATAGCAATATGAGAACTGCCAACAGAAACCTTCAAACAATTGTGAAACATGTAAGAAGGATAAGAAGACTCCATCTAGAAGTAAGTTATTTGTAATGTTTGATTAATAACAGATTTCAAAATTCTCTCCTTGGAAAGACCCAGGAACCCAGGTACTGGTCTTAAAAGCTGTGAAACTGGCAGGAAGGGTAAGCATCTACATATTCTTTCCTCCTTTTTTTTTCATTTAATTAACTATTTCCCATTTCTTCTCCTTTCTTTTGTTGTACCATATTGCTTTGTAATTAATTTTTAATAGACTGGCCTGCCTAGAGTAACATTGGCCACCCACAGGCCAGGCAAAAAATTGGGATCAATATCAGTATCTGGGCAACTGCCCAGATACTGATAAGTATCTGGGCAGTACCATTCTGTCTAATACCATTCTGTCTGGTAAGTGGGCAGTTGCCCGATACCGATATTGATCCAAAAATCGTTTAAAAAAATATAAAAAGAAGAGTACAATAAAACATTTTTTGTTTTTGTTTTTTAATTAATAACAAACTAACGTACACGTGATGTGATGACTTGACCAGCCTTAAAGCAAAACTTCCTAACTTTAACTTCTTACATGAGAAGGGAAACACACACTCTATTTCAAAAATGACGAAGAAAGTAATCAGATGAACATAACTTATACCAGTATTTTCAAAATTTATGAAATAAAGTTGTCACCTCTCTCAGTTGCCCCTTGGCAGGAATTTCAATTGGACACATGTTGGTATATAACAAGTCCAGGTAATACAGAAGGGTTCTGAAATAATTCAATTATATTGCAATAAATTAGAAGGTAAGTGGTGATATACTTGAGGTGATATGATACAGAGTAATGAATGATTGTGAAGAATAGATAAAAGAGATGACATGGATTAACACTTCCTCATGTTATAAGAAAATCCACTTATCTCTGGCTACAAATTCATAGTTTTCCAATGAAAAGGCTTTGATATAATTTTTTTTAGCAATCACTTACAAATAGAGGAAAACCACTACATTAAAATCTTGCTTGGCCACACAACGATTGTGAGGAAAGACCAGACTGGACACAAGTGACAATGATTTGATATAGAGGAGATTGACATGAACTGAAAACGGTAAAATTTTTAAAATTTGGTCAAACTTTTCAAACAGCTTGAACAGTGATGCAGATGAGTTAAGACTGAAAACTGACATTGGGCAAGGTTCTTGTCAAGAAATGTGCCAACAGGAGAATACCACAAAGTTACTGGAGAACAATCTCCTGACTTCTGAAGACAAAAAAAAGGATTGTAACTTACACCATCAAAATGTGGCCAGAGAATTTGGCAAGGCAGCCAAGGAATTCCCTTTTCTCAGATACCCCACATACACACTGATAAGGAAGAACCAGAAGAAAATTTACCTTCTTTTTACTTTACGGCTTTGGTCAATGGAGCTTCCCAGCTCATCCTCACTAGTGTCTTCAAACCTTTTCATAAGCTAAAAAGAAAAAAGGTTTATTATATATTAATCAGATAATTTTAAACTGTAGTGAACAAGTCAGTATTTAAAAAGTGAGGCTACATAAAGTGCTTTATTATGCAGCCAATTGTGCATCATTAAACACAATGTTTCAGAAGTTTTAAGAATATACAAAGAAGTTTGGGCGAAAAACTTAAACTTAGAAAATAATTCAGTTTGCAAATGTTAACTGCATTCTGTGCTTCAGTGAATCAGAGACAACAGCCCTTGTCAAATTCAAAACCAAACATCCAAAAAATAAAGGGGGTAAGTTTCTAAAGAAACTGTGGTGCTGCATCAGTGGGAGAGTATAGCAGGTAATTTAGTGTTAACAGCTGAGCTGAAAACTTAAATTGGCCACCATTAAGAGTAAGAAAGCTGATGTTTCAGGCATTAGCACTGCGTCCGAGCGATTGGAGGAATTGTGGGTTGTTTGTGGGTTTATATGCAGAAAGTGGAGACACACTATTGGTGGTAGTATGGTGACGAGAAAACAAGAATAAATTAATTGAATGGAAAGTACTCGTTGATACCGTGGGGATTACAAGTGCCAATTTGGAAGATAAATTTTTGTTCTAGTGTTTTGCTGCTTTCCAAACTGCCCAGATATAAGGAATCGGTCACCTAGTCGTCTTCCTGTTTCGCCAATGTATAACTTATTGCAATAAGTGTAAGTTATGCAGTAAATGACATTGGCGGAGGTACGCGTTAAGTGATCAATAATAATAATAATAATAATAATAACTTGGGTCCCATCATTTTCTCTATGTTATGAATGAAAGGACAAGTTTTGCATTGTGAGCAAGCACATTTGAAAGTTCCAGATTGGTCATTGGTTTGAAATGAACTTCTTACCAAAAAGTTGCCTAAGTTTTTGTCACATTTGAATGAAATCAGTGGGGGTTGCGAACAGATAGTACCAGTACTGAATTGTTTTGGAGTAATTTAAAGTTTTTAAGAATGAGAGATTTAACCACGTGGTTGTGAGGGTGAAATGTAAGAGTGAATGGAATGCAGTCAGTGTTTTCCTTCTCAGCTGTTTGTAGTACTGACCGTCAATCAATTTGTTGGGCACAGTGGTGGCCCGCTTGGACGACAGAAACAGGATAGCCATGTTTATCAAAAAACTGGCACATTGCAAAAAAAATATTTTGCAAGTGATCATGATATTATAAATATTTCAGAATCAGATAAAATAGGAGTGCTGACATTCACTCTAAAAGTACCGGAGGGAGTCGCTCATGCAATAACACTTCCACATCTGGTCTTGTGTCTGGATCTTTTTGAAGGATGTCTCCCACCTGAAGTGAGTAGAATTCAAATAATGGCAACCTTTAGCAATCCAGCAAAATAATGAAAAAGAAGGAAAATAAATATTAAGTAAAAATGGGCAAAACACCAAAAATGCACAAATTACTGTCAAATGCTCACCATAGCTCTAAACTCTGGACTGTAATTCCCTCTTATTGGAGCAAACTGACCCTAAGACATAACATAAACCTCAAAATATGGATTGACTTCACAAATAATGTTGCAACTTGGCATAGTTCTTCCTATCATCCTGAAAAGAATTTCAATTGATGACAGTAACAAAGGCCAGGAAGAGGATTTGTTATTACTACCACAAAAGTTCTAAAGATAGGCTCACACTAGCCAAAGAACCAAACCCACGCCCTTCCTAGTTTAATTCAAAGGTTAATGAAGACAAAGATTGATTCTTTTTAGACAGAAAAGTAACTTTTTCCCACTTTGTTAGCATAAAATGAATCGATGTCCAAGCACATGAATCACTTCACAAAAAGCTGAGAGGAGGAAATATAAACAAGATTGACAATTGTGTTTGTGATGAAAAGATAGTAACAGTGTATTGAGCGAGAGGCTCTCATTTGTATAATTGTGTACCTTACCTTCATGATTTTATTGACCAATGCTGGAAGGTTGGAACCTTCAAATGTTTTTTGTCTACTGGCCATTTCATAAAGAATACAGCCCAGGGCCCAAATGTCACTCTTGTGATTGTATTCTTTACCTTCACACTGCAAAAAGCCATTTGAAATGCACGTCATTCATTTAGTATGCTGAAGGATGTGTGGGGGGGGGGGAGTCTCAACTTATTGAGAGGCTAGCTCTGTTTAGCTAGCTAGGCTAGCTAGCTCTCTTATTGAGAGGCTAGCTCTTTCCAGCATTCAAACAGTCATGATCAGATGAGCATACCATTTCTGGTGAAATATAATATGGTGTTCCCAGCACTGTGTTTGCCTTAGAGCCCTCCAGTTGTTTACTGATACCAAAGTCACCCAGTTTGACCACACCTTCCTTGGTAAGGAATATGTTGGCTGTCTTTAGATCCCTGTATGTAAGGACCAAAAGTACACAGCCATCAGATGATGAGACAATCCTTGCTGGAACTTTACTAACTTGCCTGCTTTTTAATTACAAAAGTGGACTTGGGAAAACAAATTCAGGAATCATCCAGATTCAAGAAAGACCTAAACTTGTTTCTGTCAACAATTTTTTTTTCATCTAAAAACACAATTCTGCCAACCTCCCAACAATTTCCGGCCTCCAACAGGCCTTTAAAAGGATGACATTACTAAAATAAAAAGCTGCTACTGATACAAGAGTGCTAATTTTACAACTAATTTTGAAATTTCATCTATAATGTATAATCTCCCTCACTAGTTACATGCTCATAAAAAAAGCTGACAGGCATACAACAAGTGCATAGGAATAATACATGTATTCAAAATTGTATCAGACTTGTACCTGTGAAGGATGTTGTTGACATGAATATACTTCAAAGCAGACAGCATCTGTTGAAAAATCAATAGGATCTCTCTTTCTTCCAAATCTTTTTCCAGTCTTGACAAGTACTGAGCCAGGGTCCTACAAGGAAAAGTACAGAGGCCAGAGTATAAGAAGAAAATTCAAAGAAGAAGAAGCTGCCAATAAATCATTCAATAATAATGATTGGGTGGTATGGTGGTCATATGTACAATGCACTGAAGTGCAGCCAGGAAGGTTCAGCTTCCAATCCTGGGCCAAGTAGCTCTCCTGCACTCTCCAGTGTGACACTGGGGGGGGGGGGGAGAGAAGAAAGATTACAAGCAACCTGCAATAGACTGACATCCATCCACGAGGAGAAGCAATAACTCTCCTCCTACTATTCTTACTATAAAAGGTTAATAAGCTATAACCAACCATATAAGTCTCTTATCATTAGGGGAGATTTTGGGAGGTATGCATTAAAAATTGTATGCAAAATATATTAAATAAAAGCTGTATGTTGTATGCTGTATGCTGCTTAAATGTACAAAATATATTAAATAAAAGCCATGTGATAAAGAATGGTGTGGATGCTGCAGAACTCACCCTCCATCAGCATACTCCATTTCAATCATGAGTGTGCCATCCACTTCAAAACTGTCATAGTAGCTGATGATGTTAGGATGCAAACTAAGCTTGGACAACACTTTGGCCTGTGAAAATGTAAAAATATTTAGTAATAACTAGTGAAATTATGACAATAATATGCTAAAAGCAAGTAAACATTCTCAAGGTACTTAACTTATCTGTGCATTTTATTTCTAGTAAGCAAAGATAATGAAAATAATTCAATATCTGTACCAGTAAAGTTAACCCTTTAACTCCCATGAGTGACCAAGACAGAATTTTTCCATACAATATCACTACAATATCAACCAGATAAGTGACGAGAATAAAGAAAAATATCAATTTGGGAATAATTACTTGATCCAATACTAAATTCTCTGAACTAACATTATAAAAATTGTATGATTGACAGTAAGGAGAATTACAAATTCGATCTGGGAGATAAAAGGGTAAGAATGTACAATTCTTTTTTATGATCACCGAGTGCAGCTTTTATGGCTCAATTCCAATTTTGTTCCCTTGACATATTTACCAGCAGTTCTAACATTTTGCAGTCACTGTGTTTTTTTAAATAATTTCTCAGAAAGATGCTAGCACACTGTTGTTAAACTAACATCCAGATTTTAATGGTTCTGTGTCACAAAGCTACATATAATGAACATAATAAGAATGATCTTAGCACCTCAAGCAGTAAAACATTCATTTTAATCAAGCAAAGTGGGCTTAAAATAGTAAGCACAAAAGCTGTAGATGGAGACAAACCTCATTCATAGCCATCTGCCTCTCAGTTGCTGTTAAATCATGCAGAGATATTTCCTTCAGGATGACAAGTGAGTCATCATCCTTTTTTCTGTAAAGCACAGCTGCACCATATGCTCCTAAAAATTTCAAACAAAGCTATATGTTACACCTTCCAACTCAAATACATTAGGTGTGTTACAAGCCTGGCACTCAAAATGTCCACTACTACCTACTGGGGCCAAAATCACTCCTACTTGTTCAACATTCACTCTTTAACATTCTTCAACAAATGACATAAACTAAAATATTAAAGCAAAGGTAACAATTGGAGCAAAATGAACATGCTTGAAAACTGTTGGAACCTGTCTGAAGTCCTTGAATACTCTTCAAAATTTTGGTATTGTGGATGTGAAATTCACATGCATTTGTCTTAGGAAAAGTTTTCATCGTAAGAAGTGATTTGACCTTTTCCTACTGTTCTAATCCTTTCAAAGTTGCTTATGTCTTGCTGCTGTACACCAGACCATCCTCGCATCTTTTCTTGTTTGAAGTAAAGTTCCCCAGGATGTAAGTTACTATATAACAGACAAAGATGGCTTTTTAGTGCTAGATATGTGCGTAAATAAAATCACAACAAAAGTAAAAATTTATACAGACAGCATATAATAATGTTAATACTGTTTGTTAATTTTACTCATGGTTCAAAATATTTAATGTTTCACTTGAGTTTTCTTTATTGTGCACATAAAAAAAATTTGGTGGCTGCAAATTATAGCAAGGACTTTTTGTCAAAATGTCTCAGATATGATTTCAGTTGTACAAGTCATGTAGATACAGATTTCAAACCAAACAGAAATTAAATTTGCCAGTAGGTACATTATGGTGTATTCCAGTGAAATATTAATCCACCAAGATGATAGATACATATTAAAATATGTTAAATCTGTGATAACGAAACTGGGCAGAAGGGCTTCCTTACTTTAACTCATCCCCTTTGATCCTGAAATCTGTGCCCATGGTCTCCTTAGTCATCCCTATTGCAACCTGAAAACAATATACAACAGTGTAATCCACATTTGATCAAGGTTTTCATTCCAGATGTAACAATAAGAGACAAGTGTAAAGTAAAGAAATCTAATAAGATGTTTTGGTGTGCAATATTGTGGAATATTTTCAATGAGTTGTGCCGTATTTTGACAAGCCTGCAGTGCAAGTCAAAATACAAATGAGATAAAATATTCAGTGATATTACACACCAAAACATCTTGTAAGTTATTTATTATCCCACTGCTTGTTTAATCTACAATTTAAATAGGGCTGGAAAAGTGAAACAAATAGTGAAGAGGTTTCTGACTCTTCTTATTAAGTAATGCTTGCATAGGATCCCACATAAAATAATCAATTGTCCATTTATCTAGTAACTACTCAATATTGCAGGATATTTGTACTTGATTTGTGAGTTTCTTTTTCTCTACTTGGTTGAGCTGGATAACAATCAGAGAATACTCTTCTGTTAATCCAATTAATCATAAGTCACAATTCCCAAAAACAACAAATATATATATTTAGGACAAATATCTGTGGTAAAGACAATGTCTAAAGTAAAAAACTCCACTTTGGAAATTCCGCTGTTGTTTTCTTTAGGATGAGTAGTTGTTGCTATTATGGTTATCATGATCAATTATGTGAATAGTGGATTTGGTGGGTTGGACTTAGTATGATTAGCTGCTTCAACTGTCCCATTAGAGGCGTCCAATTACAGCCAACTGTACAATTACACTGTTTGATTACAACTGTACAGAATGATTAGTGAAAATAAAGCAGCTAATGCACCAATCACATTTGAGGAAGTTGTAAAGTTTAACCTTTAAACTACCACTAGTAGCCAAGACAGAATTTCTCCTTACAATATCATTAAAATATCAAACAGTCAAGTGAGGAGATAAAGGAAAATTTCAGTGAGGGGATTATAAGTTGATCCAATACAAAATTCTACACTAGCATAATAAGAACTGTATAGAAAATTTTGAGGAGAATTATTAATAAGGATGTGGCAGTAAAAGGGTTAAGATTAATACTCAAAATTTTTATTTTAAAATTTCACATTCAAGAATACTTTGGACAAAGATGATGATGACCTTTATTTAAACACCATAATATTTTATGCCACAACCTTGTGGGGTCATATGAAAAAAAAGGAAAATTACGTGTTATGTAAATATAACTTAAATTTGAAAATTGAAAGTGATATATATATTATAACTTCTAAGTAAAAACAATATCAGGATATACAAGGAGAAACAGAAAGTATGTCAAATTTGAATTCCTTACAATAGTCTGTGTTGAGTGAATGTTTTTTCAGATTATTGAGACTCAATAATCCAACTTCTTGTTTATAGGAGAAAATAGTGTTCCATAACACAGCGCCGTGATATTTAAATAAGTCTTTCAAGTATCTTGTTTGGAACCTGGGTTCTGTTAAAAGGTCGCATTCCCTCAGAGAGTAACCATTTGAGCAACCTTTAGGGATGTTTTCTGACAGTGAGTTGGGGAGAGTGGCTTTATAGCCTTTGTAAAAAAAGCTCAATTTAGGAACTGACATATCTGGCAAGACATTATGAATCCTCAAAAAATTTGGTCTTTGAAAGGAAGTCATGTCAGTCAGTTCCAAATAATAAACAGGTTACTACATCTGCTGATTATCTTCCATTATGACTTTTATTTAGCCTTTTTACACCTATCCCAAGCACTAAAATAGCAAAGGATGTTAACCTACTTGTGTTAAGCCTTCCAGCATCTCCACAATTTCTTTTGCATCACTGCTGTGAGAGAGCGGACAAGCAAGGAAGTCCAGACGGGCACCAGGTGAATCAACATCCAAACAAAGTTTGACAATTTCCACGAAGAAATTCTGCAATTCTTTAAGTTCTTTGACAGCATGCAGTGAAATTACCTTGGTAAAAATATTATGTTGTGTAATTATCATAGATCCACTGAGCATACAATTAAAATTTAAGCTATGGTCACTAGTACTGCTATTTCAGTCATTAGAAGTTGTTATGATCACCACATGTTAGTTTCCAAATTCCTCATAGATTTAAAAAAAACATATTTTCAATATCACGTTCATTGAGAATATTCCCATTTCGGATAAAAATAGCATGATACACTCCCACACTTTGATCAAAATAAAATAAATAACATCACGACTTCTTACCGAGTGTCTTTCAGATCGTGTTGAAAATGTTTTTTTTTTTTTTTCAATACCCTCAAAACAGATAAACAGACGAGCAAGACATTAGTTTGAGAGAGCAATTTCAGCTGTCATTAGAATATTAGCTGAGTTCTTCAAAACCCCAGCAAACTTCATTACCATTTTGATAACGCTTCCGGTGAGCTCAATACATAACTAATAAAAATAACGTTTCGCTTTTTGTATCAGTTATTTTTTTTAATCCTCTTTTGGAGAGGGATTGACATTTTTTAATTCCAAAAGATACAAAATAAAGATTTCGACTGAAAACAGCTCGTGTTTGACATGATTTTTAAATATAATCAAGAAAATTGTATCATTTCTCGTTACCTGATCGTCGTTTGCACAGATGAACATATTGCTTCCCTGTCCGTGAGCCATGAAAGCAATGCTTTCAGCTTTTCGTCCAGCTAAAATATGTTGAGCTTGAGTTAGAAGTGATTCAAGCGTTGAACTGTCATATTTGTAGGGAACGAACAAAACAGATGATCGAGCAGCCGAGTTAAGAACGGTGGAATGCCGCACTTTAGAACTCAAGAACACAACTCGCCAAGCTGGTAGAGAAATAGCGCTGTTGGACCGACTGTGGTTTGTACCATCCTGTCTATCGGAAAGCGTGTTTTCTGCATCATTCTGAGTTTCATTCTCATTTTGTACCTCCTTTGGACTTGAAGCCATTCCTTGTCTCACATCATAGAGACTCGAAGGAAGTCTGCATAAAGTTCCTATTCGAGATTGGTCGCATGATCGTGGTTTTGGATCTCACAGTCCAAAGACACTATCCCGATGGTATTTCTCTTCAGCTGATCAATATGAACTCCCTACCGGTCCTTGAAACTCGTGAAAAATCAAAGAAGATCTTCCTTTTAGGTCATTATTGGAAAAACAATATTTTTTTGCCAAAGTTCCACTTTAGAACCGTCGACAAGTCAAGATGGCCGGAAAGGGGCAAGCCAGATACTCACGAACCGTCTAGTAGATCAATATAGCACTGATCAGCTCGTCATCATCGTTTCCCAACATTATACAATATAAAAACGATGACACAGTTTGACAGTGGCCAACAGCTCAAACACTTTTCAATATGTATGTTGTTTTGTTGTAAGTGACTACCACCGGCCATCAAAACAATCAATTTTCGCTCCAAGACTACCAGCACGTTCGTATGATTTGTTCATCGTCGAACAAGATCGTGAAATTCTCGGAAAGATTCGGAAAACGTTCTTTTCGTCCGAAGCTTGTTGACCGTTCGTGACGCGTCTTGAGGTTGCATTGAGCTCGTGCTAACTTGAATTAAAGGTCACGTTAAGTCTCTTTCTCGAAAGGAAAGCTTGATAATAGGAGAGAATATCAATGTAGGAAATTCTAATTACAATCATTCTGCAGCTCCGCGGTCAGGTTGTATGGTGTGAGAACACACTGGTGCGAGATTCGACTGTCATCAAACTACATGAATGCAGGACTTGCAGGTGTCAAAAATTGTATATTTCAAGTTCTAGAACTTTCCATTTCTTCGGTGCAAAAAAAAAATGTGGAAAATCTGGACAAGAGATTCCACTAACAGATAATTTTCGTTCAACACGTCACGTACGCAGAACTTGCAGAGCAGTCCGTTGAACCAGACTCAACTTAAATACACCTCGAAGATTACGAAAAGTTCAACAAATGGTCTTCAAACCTACAGCCTTGTAACGATCCTCCAATCTCATGGGTACCATCAAGATGTTTGCATTTCTTTAACTGCGGCTGGATTGGTAGATAATTTTTCGTCTTCATCAGTGAGTAGATTGCTCATTTGGAATCTACAGAGCACGCGAGATTTCACCGCAAATGAACGAGCTATGGATTCGAACATTGTCCTTGTTTTCATAGGTAAGGCTTAAATGTGTGACTTTTAATACTCGTACGTGCGTTTCTTTGATAATCCCGATAATTAACTGCAGCTGAACACGTACAAATCAACTTTTATTCATGAGGGACCGATTCCAGACAAATTTTACAATTAAGGGAAAATTCTATTTAGACTTCGCACAATAACATGGATGCGAAATGAAAATTACACAAGTGTGAAATTAAAATTGGATTGTCTCTAAGTCCTATGTGTTATCATTAAAACTACGAGGCATTAGTGATAGCATTGTTTTTCTTAATACGCCACTCTCTCAAACAAAATTAACCGTGACCTGAGAAGTACAGCACATATATCTGATGAATGCATTTTCCAATTATTCTAATGCATACATCAAAAGTTAAGTAGTCAGAGGAAATGAAGCAAGTACAGAAAAAGACTTGAGCATTATACTAATGATCTTGTCATGATTATGACCCTAGTATATTGGTTTCCTTAGAAACTCCTTTATGTTTGTATAATCATTATGATGATAGTTATGCCAACAATGATTTTTAAAGCTGTGAAACTTGTGTATTAGTTAGATAATGATTTATTATTTACATTTTATTTTTCAGGAATTCATCTTGTTCTTCATGCATTTTGTGTCAGGGAAGGTAAGCTAGTTAAAATTTGAGTATTTTAGCTAAACTATAACAAACATGACTGATTTACATGAAAAGTCACAATCATGTTGACCAAATTTTTTGGCAGGCTAACCCTTCCTTGCATTCACAGGCTCTTGCAAATTGCAGAAATTAATCATAAAGTGTGCACTTAATTACCCACTCTCTATGTAAACATCCTTGAAACAATCAAAGCTTTCAGTTCAGATATGGACCTCTTCAGGACCAGAAAGCACTTCCTTTTTAGAGCTGAATTAATGAATTCAAGACCGTACAGTCAATATACGATAGCATGTGAAGTTGACATGATTTCCCAGTCTCTGCGGCAGAAGTTGGGTTATCATGTTGAGTTCAAAGTCTGTCTAGTTTCCAAGCCCCTCAAACATATGGTGTTTTCAAAATTTTTCAAACTCAAAGAGAAGTGTCTTCTTTTGCAGAATTTTTGATAAATTTACAATAAAACAATTACTGACTTTGATTTTTGCATGATATGATATGAATCATCAACCTTGTATCTGTGTTATCAGCCTTAGCTTTGGCTTCAGCCAATAACTCAGACCTCTGCATTGAAAATTCATGATATCATGCTCAACCTCATCCAGTAATTGCTTATTATCATGTATAGCAATTGAAATGTGAAGCATGTACCAATAAACTCTCAATATTTGATTCACAATGTTCTCTAACTTCTAGCTGTAATGCATTTCCTCATAAACTGTTAAGAGAATTTGGTTTTGTATTAAAATTAAAAATCCTCCAACCAGTTATTGATTTTCTGCTCTCGTTAACTTTTTGGTGGAGCATATTAACTGCATGTTAATAACTTTTGAAGTGGAAGGATTATCAAAGGCAAAGCTTCAGGTGCTATGGCAGAGATTTGAACGAAGGCTAAAAAAAGTTAAGATAGCCCAGGGCAAATGTGAAATCTTATTTCAGATCTGAAAGTTTTTAAAGAAAATTCAGCATAGAAAAAAGGAAAGAGCATACTTTCTTAGAAAAGCTTATGAACAAATGGGTAAAGAAGCCTGGATTAAAATTTAACCCAAGGTTAGTACTAATTGGCTTATCAAACAACAAGGTCCAAAACAAGGAGGTTTGATGTAAAACTATCTCTTGTCAGGTGAAAAGCATGATAGTATACTAGTGTATTTTAGTTTCTTTCAATGTACCTGGAAAAATACAAATTTAAGAATGTACATTTTACTCAACTTTTTTTTATTTAGTTTTAGGGGAATGTGGAGGTCATAGGGATAGTTCCTCAGGGACCATTGAATCTCCTAATTATCCAAATGGGTACCCTGTAGAACAGAACTGTATCTGGACTGTAGCTGTTGAAGGTTCGGTGAAAAACATTAAATTGTCATTCAGGTACGGTTGCACTGTTAATGCAGTAAGTAATATGAATTATGAAAGGGATTTTTAACAGAAAAGAGGTTGAAGGGAATGTAAGTATATTTGTTTACTTTCAAAGAGTATGGTATATCAATAAGAATAGCCAACAAGCCTTGTCAGTTGCCCTGGAAGCTTTCACAGGCTACTTTTAAATGGATGTGAATATATGGAAGTTATATATTTGAACTGTGGTTAAAGATGTGAATATGAAAGCGATCTTTGCAGTAATGAACACTACTTAAGTTGTGCCTTCTTTTCACTACTACTTAAGTAGTGGTTCATTACTGCGAAGATCACTTTCATATTCATGCTACTTTTAAAATTTGTATCAACAAGATGCCTTGTAAAAGACATACACTGGTTTCAGAGAAATGTCAGTTATGCTTGTATCCCTGGACATAAAATAATGTATTTTGCAAAACCTTTCAATTTTTAATTTAGTGTAAACAACTGAGTAGAAAATGTAAATTAGCCATCATAGATGGGTAAAAAAGCTGATGTTTCGAGCGTTAGCCCTTCGTCAATCGCTCTGACAAAGGGCTAACACTCAAAATGTCAGCTTTTTTACCCTTTACGGTGGCTAATTTACATTTTCAACCCAATTGTTTACACTAAATTACCTGCTATACTCTCCCACCGACACAGCACCACAGTTTCTTTAGAAACTTACCCCTTTATTCATCTTTCAATTTTTATTTTCCATCATCCATGTTTGGGAACTTAGAGAGTTGATGTGATTTAATAGCCTTCAAAGGTAATGGCAAATGGATTATTGTTTTCTGGTTAATTCTTTTGTTAACCCTTTAGCCCTTAAGAGTGACTAGCATCTAATTTCACCTCATAATATCACCCCTGAAAGTAGGGGTGGAAAGCAGCTCTTGATTGTGAAACCAATTCTCTTTGCCAGCCTCTTTGGAAATGTATGGAGAACAGTAAGGAGAATATGCATACTGATGTTTGGGTGTAAAGGATTAAATCAATTCAGTCCTAAGCTAACTTAAAGATGTTCCTTCTTGGACAGTTCTTTTGACCTTCAGCCCAGATCTGCAGATGGGGAATGTACAGATTATGTTGCAGTTTTCCGTAAACAGTTGAAAAAGGAAGCAGGAGTTGTTCTTGAGGCAAGGATCTGTGGAAGCGCCCTACCAGACTCTATGCAGATAGAAGAGTCATCAATGACAGTGCAGTTTGTTTCTGACTCAATAACTGGTTTCTATTCAGGCTTTTCTCTCCATTATGAAACCAACTTCAAAGAGAGTAAGTTGTTATGAAGCTGTCTTGTGGTTTTATCTTGAAACTGTTAAAAAGCCATGGGCTGCCCTAAAGATACATGTATGAATAAATTCAATTCATAAGGTCTTGCAAGACCCTTAAATGCCCTCAATGATATTAATAATAATAATAATAATAGTAATAATAATAATAACTTTAATAATAACTATAATAATAATAATAATAACTTTATTTATATAGCGCTCGTATCCTCTGCTCTGGGAGATATGGGAGAAAGAGGAATCCTGAGAAATGCTGCAGTTCATATCAGTTTTGGACCAATTTTATGTAATTTTAACACATTACAGCACCATATATACCTTATAAGACCGGCATTTTGATGTGAAGTATGGCAGCATATTTTTACAAGTTGTGTTGTATTTTGATAAGCCTGTAGGATCCCCTTTGTTTGTGTTACTTATCAAGGTGGGGTAAATTACAATACTGTTAAAATTTGGGGCCCACTAAAATTGCTACATATTTGCTACCAGTCTATGCCAACTACTTTTAACTAAAGATAAGTAAAATTCATTGCCTTCTAGGTTCTTCTGTTTCCCAAGCCACTGCTGGCATTGTTGCTGCTGTCTTCTGTGCAATAGTCTTTATTGGAGTTGGTATGCTGCGCTGCATTATGTTAGGAGGATGCAACTGTGGTGGTAGAGATCTGAGAGACAATAATCATAACCAACAGGTGATTGGTCACAGTGAATCATATACATATCAAGGGGATTTTCCTCCTTCTTACAGCACAGGTATGTTCCACATCACTTAATTGCAACAGAGAAATACAACTCTGCTTTTTATCATCAATCAATTGAACTTGTCTAGCTCTCATTATCCACCATGCAAGGTTCAAGAAAAGACACAAAACTGTTGACAAGGAGGGCTGTTCGCAGCTTTTACCTTCTCATTTCTTTCTTTCATCATTTTGATGATAAAAATGTGAAAAAAAAATTAATAAAAGAGTGGCATATTAAGTGTTTGATGAAAGTAGTGAAGTAACCACTGAGATGTTGAGGATGCAGCATTTGTTCTCATTTACTTTGATCACAGTTTAACACAGACAGAAAATAGTGACAGTCCAGGGGAATCTGGAAATCCTGTGTGATTTTGCATTTTCTCTGGGAGTATTAAATTTGTGAAGAGCTTCTCTCATTATTTCCTAAGATGTCAGCCAAACCACTCCTCTGAATCTCTTGGAAAGTTACCAACTGTCACAATTTTTCCATTTAAACTCTTTATTCAATAACGCAACAGCTACTACATGACAACATGGGCGAAATCAAAATGGCGGGTCCGGTACCACGTTTTTTCCCACAGGTCCGATGGGAGCGCGTGGTATGACGTAATATGACATCCCCCTTTCTACCGATGTAATAATAATAATAACGACAAAAAAAAAATGGAACTTATCATATCTCCAGAACATTACAATACTGGTTGAAAGGATATCCCTCCTGTGCTTATACTTATAAGTCTATTCTTTAGTGTCTCTACTGTTATAGATCCAGCCTTTGTGCAGGTGTCACAGTCCTCCCAGATCTGGTCACATATCCTCCAGCTATGTCTGAGGGTCCCTGGGGGATGTTGTTCAGTGGCACTGTTTCGCCAGATCCTGGTCTGGGGGCTGCACCGTTTTTGTGCGATGTCTGTGTGTGACTGACTGGGGCAAGACTAGTTGTCTGCTGAGGTATCTCAGAACCTTGGTATACTGGGGTTTCCACCCGCTGGCATTGTGTTCCCCTCACTGCAGTTGTGTCTGGTTTCAGTTGGGCCCGTGTTCTTCGATAGGTGGTACCTGTACTGCTGGATCTGATGATGTAAGATCTTGGCTGTTTGGCGGGTTTTACAATAATGCCAGGTTCCCAGGTTTGTGAGTGGTGGTTGTACGTGCGGATGGGTTGGTCAGCTTCGAATGGCTTTTTGGGTGGTCCTGAATGCTGGTTGTAATAGTGGGCTTGTTTCTCCTGACGGGCTATGAGCTTACTTTTCATGACCTCATGGTGAGAGTGGTTGAGGAGGACTCTATGGCATGCTGGTAATCTAGTTTTAAATTTTCTGTTGGTGAGCAGTTCTGCTGGGGATTTCAGCTGGTGATCCAAGGGAGTGGCCCGGTATGATAGGAGAGCAAGGTACGGGTCCTCTTTATTTTCATCGCACTTTTGGAGAATGTTTTCCACGGTCTGGACCATTCGCTCAGCAAACCCGTTGGATTGGGGGTATAGGGGGGAGCTAGTAATGTGTTCTACCCCGTAGACGTTCATAAAATGCTTGAATTCTGCCGAACTGTACTGCGGTCCGTTGTCGGTCGTCAACTGCGTAGGGATGCCGTGTTCTGCAAAGATGCTCTTCAGATGGTTGATAACTGCAGATGACGTGGTGCTTGTTAGTCTCCTGATGACAGGAAATCTGCTGTATTGATCTGTCAACAGGAGGTATTGCTGCCCTCTAAATTCGAACAAGTCCGAACTGAGTCTTTCCCATGGTCGGTGTGGCGGTTCTGGCTGTAGTATTGGCTCTTTCCTTGCTTTATTTTGGTATTTCTGGCAGGGTTCGCACTGGTTAACTTGGTTGATGATTTCCTTTGTAATTCCAGGCCAGAAAACGGATGTACGTGCTCGTAAAAGGCATTTCTCTTGCCCTAGGTGGCCTTGGTGTATGATGTTCAGGATTTCAGGTCTGAGAGTAGGAGGTATCACGATGCGGTCTCCTTTTAGTACTAAGCCGTCCTCGATGGTCAGCTCTTCTCTGAAATTCCAATAGCCATGTAGCAGTTGGGGGCACTCTTCTCTTTTCTGTGGCCATCCTTCAAAGACCATTTCTTTTAACAGAGACAACACAGGATCCCTCCCTGTTTCGTCACGGATCTGTTGTAGCTTTGTTGGAGTTGCAGGGAGATGTTGTGTGACGTGGTGGACATATATCTCTGAAAGTTGACTGCTGCTAGGGGTAGGCTGGGGGCTGACTCTTGAGAGAGCGTCGGCTATTGGTACATCAGGACCTTTTACGTAGTTGACCGTAACGTCGTATTTCAGGGCTCTCATCAAGAACCTCTGTAATCTAGGTGGGCAACTGGACAGTCGCTTCTTGAAAATCGCCTCAAGAGGTTTATGGTCAGTGTTTACTGTACAGTGCTTCCCAAAAATGTAGTAGTTAAATCTCTCTAGGCCCCATACTACACCAAGTGTTTCTCTCTCAATGTTGCTGTAGTTTTTTTCTGTGTCTGTAAGTGCTTTGGAGGCATAGCATACAGGTTGCCCCTGCTGCAAAAGGACGGCGCCTACTCCCTTCTGGGAAGCGTCAGTTTGAATGACAGACTCGATGTTTGGGTCAAAGTATCTGAGGACTCCCATTGATGTGATTTCCTGTTTGACTTGGTTGAATGAGTCGTCGTGTTCAGGTCCCCATACATATGCGGTGTCCTTCTTGGTAAGTTCTCGCAGTGGTGCTGTGAGGCTAGCCAATCGCCCTGAGTATCTTGTAAGGTAGTTTACGAGGCCTAAGAAGCTTTGGAGGTCTTTGCGGTTCTCAGGTGGGGTCATCTTCTGGATTGCAGATATCTTACTGTCATCTGGTTTGATTCCATCCTGGGTCCATTTGTGGCCGAAAAAGCTGACTTCCTGACATTTGAGCTGTACTTTGTCTTTGTTGAATTTGATTCCCCTTTCCCTGGATCTGATCATGAGGTTTACCATGTTCGCATCGTGCTCTTCCTCTGTAGCTCCGTATATGAATGTATCGTCTGCAATGCCGGTGACTCCTTTCAGGCCCTCCAGTGCTGAATCTAAGTGTTTCTGGAACACATCTTGTGATACAATAAGGCCAAAGGGGAGCCGGGTGAAACGGTATCTCCCGAACGGGGTGTTGAAAGTAGTCAGGTAGGAGCTGGCTTCGTCTAATGGTACATGCCAGTAGCCCTTTTTGGCATCAACTACACTAAAGAATTTGGCACCACTAAGCTGTGTGACTACCTCATCAATTGTTTTGGTGTAGTAGTGTTCGCGTTTTATTGCCTTATTTAGGTCACGTGGATCGAGGCAGACTCTGATTTTGGTGACTTCTCCTTTGCCGTTGGTTGTTTCAGAGAGGACGATGCTATTAACCCAGTCTGTGGGTTCGCTTACGGGTATGAACACTCCAAGTTCTACCATGGTGTTGATTTCCTTTCTAAACATGTCTCGAAGGTGTACTGGTACGGTACGTGGTGCGTGGATGACAGGTTCAGCATTGGAGTCTAGGGTGATGTGATAAGGTTTCATATTGAAGGTTCCCAGGCCTTCAAAGCAGTCTCTGAAGTTGTTGAAGAAGGTTATCCTGTCCAGTGGGGGGTATGTTTCAGTGTCTAGACGGCTAGGGTATCTGCTGGTCCTTTGGTGCGGTTTGCATGGTCTGTGTTCTTTAAGGCGGGTCTCTTTGTCTTCTTTGGAGGTTTCTAGGCTGCAATTAAATTTTACCAGCTCAAGTTCCTCGCAGGTTTTACAGCCAAGCATTGTAGGTCCTGGTACGTCAGTAACATTGAAAACGACTTCTTTAATGCTGCCATTTTGATGGACGTATAGTGGACAGGTTCCAAGGGTCTTGATGGCGTGGCCTCCATACGCAGTAATCCTGTGGTGTGTTGGGCCGAGGGGTATCTGCTGGGAACTGCGGTTGAGTCTGTCATAGTCGTCTTTGGAGATGACATTAACTTCTGCACCAGTGTCGACCTTGCAGATAATAGGTATCAGGTGTGTATCATGGGGGTCTACCGTGACTTGTATTTCAGTCATGACTTTGGTGCGTTGTTTTTCTTTTTGTTCAATGCTTGCGATCATTGAGGTACTGGGGCTGTCTCGGGCTTCTAGTGTTCCCAGGAAGACTTTGTCGTAGCTTGTGCATTCACTTGTTACACCATCAGGTTGTTCTTTTTGTAGGGTCATCACATCTGACCTTGTTTTAGACTTGCAAACTTTGCTAAAATGACCGCGTTTGTTGCAGTTGAAGCATTCTACTCCAGTGGCTGGGCACTGCTGGTCTTTGGTGTGTGGTGTGTCTCCACATCTGTAGCACTGTCTTAGGTTGTTGTCACGTCGTCTGTTTCCTCTACCACTGGTGTACCTTCGGTGGGGCTGGTTTCTGGGCTTGTTTCCTCTGCTGATTGCATTGACTTCCCCTTCTTCTTGCTTTGGGTTTGTAGTGTCACTCATTGCTTTTAATTGCATCTGGGTAGCCTCATCAGTTCGTGCAATTTCTTTTGCCCTTGCAAAGGTTAATTCATTACCGCGGGCAATGCATTTTCGTCTGACCTCTTCCGAATCGGTGCCGAAAACTAATGTGTCACGCATGAGTTCGTCATGTAAGTCAGGTGGGTAACCTGAGCTCTGTATGAGTAGCCTTGCTTCAGTCAGGAAGGTGGCTAGGGGACGATTATTCTGTTTCAGACCTCGTAGATAATATCTGTTCAAGATATGGTTTGCTTGTGGTTTAACATGGTCTTCGAATCTTTTCCAGTATTCTTTCAGGTCTTTTTGTTGGTCTTCGGTTAGCGACCAAGTGTTAAATAAGTCTATTCCGTAATCGCCTGACCATAGTAGCACATATTTGCATTTTTGAGTGCCGTCTCGAGCTTTTAACGGTCCATCAAGTAGCAGTTCACACTTTTGGCGGAATCTCTTGAATCTAGTTAATAAATCTGGGCCAGGGGTCCAGTCCATTTTTGGTACTTCAAACCCAACCAAGTCGCTCATTTTTGGCTAAATTGCACGATAAGACAGGACTTTGTAGTAAACACTGTAAAATCGTACGTACCGGTTTTCTTGGTTGTTCTAGCGGTGAGAATTCCTCTATTGGTGTAAATCTATCCCACTTCCGACATCCATGTCACAATTTTTCCATTTAAACTCTTTATTCAATAACGCAACAGCTACTACATGACAACATGGGCGAAATCAAAATGGCGGGTCCGGTACCACGTTTTTTCCCACAGGTCCGATGGGAGCGCGTGGTATGACGTAATATGACACCAACGATATTTATTTATAATAAATACATTTTATTGTATTGAAGAAGAAGTAAGGCAAGCCTGAGGAAGTCTTTGTAAAAATCTTGTTAAATTTGTTGTTCTCTTTTTGATCAGTGGATACTGGGTTTTTTTCTGATGTTTGCATGGTTACTCCAAGATGCAAGGATTTTCAAATGGAAATCTTAGGCTTTTGTTAGCACATAGTTTAGATAACTATGAATAGCCTGGATTTTCTGGAAAACTGGCTCCTTTAACATTTGTGTTAATTTTGTTATTGCATTGCTAGTCATGCATCATCCAGAGAGATATCCCACACCAGAATCCAGCCCCAGGGCACAGAACAGTAACGTACCACCACATCAGAACCTGAATGGAAGAACATTTTCTGTTGGATCAAGCAGCAGCTCTGATGAGGATGATGAGGATTTTCCTCCCCCACCCTACCCAGGCAATGTCACTCAAGGAGCTGATGGTGATTTTGATGTCGATGATGTAAATACAAATAATTCAACAGAAAATGGACCAAACACTGTTAACAATAATGATGAAATGAATACAAATATCACTGAAGAACACTCAAGTTATCCTGAAGCTACAACTGTTGATGTGGCTGATGAAGATACAAATAGTGCATCATGTGATGAACCCAACATTGTTAGCAATGATGATGAAGTGACTGTGAATTTGAATGAAGAGCAATCAAGGGAAGATGGTGTTAATTCTCATGAGGTTCCTCCTTCAGAGGTTGGAGTAGAGCAGAGTTCCTCAACAGCTGGAACTGAAGGTAATGTGTTGGATGTAGACACAACAGCACACAGCAGCCAACAAGAAGGCAATAGAGAAAACTGTGAAACATCACAAACTGGTGAAATACTTGAAGAGATAGAAAGTTTTGTTTGAAAATGTTTGATCAACCAACTCCAAATTTGTGGCTTTTAATTTACTGGGCATTCCTCACATCTAAAATTTAGATGATAAAAGTTACTTAATCTTCCTTCAGTTTCTCTTAACACTTAGGGTACTTCACACTCCTTCATAAGGATAGTCCTATTCTTACTATTTAGATAGCAAAGAAGCCTCTAATCAACTAAGCCTTCACTTAAGTAATGGAAGATATACTTTTATATTTGAAAGCTCAACCCGAAAATTCTTTAGTTGTTGTCATAACTCAAAATATGAAGTCACTCTGAGTTGTCTTTTTATTATTTTTTTAAGCCTTTAGTCATAGCTCTTGGATTTATTTCATAAATGTCTATCCCTTTCAATGATGTACAGTAAAACTGAATGAACTTTTGATTTCATTCCACTTTGCAATTATCCCATTTCCTATGAATGGTGTCTTGGTTAGGAGTTTGTGTGGAGCAACTTTAGAAAGTACATGGAATAAAATGCAGCAAATTTTCAAATTGTATTCTGCTCAAGAATCTTGACACGGAGATGTGCCAGTACATTTGAAAATTGTTCAAAGTAGGTTGATCCCTTGACTCCCAAGATCTGTATGTTAATTCTAGCCTATCAGTGCTACACATTATCTTCTAAAGTAGTTATGAGAATTTGGTGTTCTTAGATCAAAAGAACAGCTTCTACCTTATAAGTGTGAGTTTCTCACTAACTGTTTGCTGGGTACTGTTTGGTTATTACAGGGAGAAGTTACATGTTAATCATGTCTGGAAGTTCAAGAATTTACAGCACACAGTAGGTAGGGAGAAGGAAGTCACGTACCATGCACAAAGAATGTTGTCGTGACAAACCTGCAAAGTTGCATTTAATTACAAACTTTAATATAGGTTTTGAAATTGGTATAAATAGCTGTGATATGTAGTATCCAGTGACAAAACAATTTAATTATGCACATTCATTTGAATAATTTGACATATTTATGCAAACGGTATTACTTGAGAGAATAAAATATATGATTTATTCTGCATAGCGCACTCAAAAAGGGAAGGTCAGGGAACCTAAGAACCACAAAGAAAAACCCTATTTCTACCTTTATTTACCTGTTCTATAGGTAAGCAATACAAAATTGTTAATATTTAATAGAGATGGCAATCAAAGCAAAATCTGTAGATCCATAGAAAAATGTATTAATATTTATAAAATGTATTCACCAGTACCATCAAGTGTGTTCATCTTATTTAATCTTGTCTGTTCACGGCTGTTTTATAACTCGCTTGCAAGGTTTTTTCTTTTGGAGAGAGGAGAATGGATCTTTTAGCGAACCATAGGAGATAAAATGGCAAAGAACATGAAAATGAGGACTCCCGTCTGAGTTATGTGACAAGAGCGTTTCGTTGGCTTAAGAACGCCTAGTAACAAATTCATTTTATCCATATCTATTCATTCTCCTTTGCAGCTTTTGTTCGGTCGCGTCATGCAACGATCTCACTTCCTGTGAGAGCGCTGTTGTGTGGAAAGACTGAACATCCAGCGCTATTTAAGGAGACTACCCTACGTGACTGCGTGTTCTTCCCACATCCCAAGTGGGCTATTACGCCGGTAAACCAAAAGAAATTGCAGTCTATTGCTTTTAAAAAATAAACTTACATTGTTTCAATTTTCTATTGATTCACCGGTGTAAAAAACGATGGGGTTTTTTGGCCAATCGTGGCGCTCCTAGTCTCTCCGTTAATTCATAAAAGTTGTCATTCTCAGCTTGCAAAACTTGATCTTTGCGCATACCCTACGTAAACTTGACCGCTGTAGTTCTCTCGTACGGAACTCGTGCAGCATTGTTAGACATCAGAGATCAAAATCCTCACCGCAGACCATGCAAACCTAATCAGGTTCTTTCACAATGATCCGTGCAACAGTTTTGACCATATTTCAAAAGGCGAAAATGAATATTTATCAAATGTGGGGACTGATTAATGGGACTTCTTGATTTGTTTGTCATTAATCTTAGCTTTTTACCTAACGTTTAAATGTAAGTTTCCATATAGTCCCTATAGCAAAGTCAAAATGAGAAATTAAAGATCATTGTTTTTTGGTAACCCGCCTAAGTGGGGTAACCCGTCTGTCCAGGTTGGGTAACCCTGTCAGCCGGGGTGACAATTTGCCATGTAAACGTGTCGTGTAACACAACGCGTGACGCTTTCATGAATAAATAGATATGTGTCCGAGAATTAATCTTTCGTCTTTTTCGAGATGTGAGCTTGGGACTCAACTCCTTAATTGCAAGCGCAACAACAACCTCAAGAAACCTCACCCCTCACCCCTCACCCCTCTGTAAGATTGCATGTAAACGCGTTTTATTTTTCGACCACGGCAAGGCGGGTTACATCACCTACCTGGGGTCCCCCACCTCCATGTAAACAGGCCCTTAATAACACCTTACTCTTTGTAAAATTTTTCTTGTTCAGTGCACCATTTCACGTGCGAGTGAAAGAATTCCAATCGTGAAATATATAGAAATCCCAAGAGACACTCGAAGCAATTGTTAACGTTCATGGTACATGTGGCTCGTTGGTCTGTGGAAGCTTCCCGGCGAAAGTTAAGTTCAATTTCTTTTACTCCTCTTCGTTGATGAGGTATCTGCTTTAACTTTAATTCTCGCTTCGTTTTGCCATATATCAATTTCCATATCTTATCTTGCTGCAGGCAACGACAGTGAGCTGTAAAAAAGCGGCAGAGTTGCAGGAACGAATGCAGACGAACAGAGGAATATCCTGAGGAACAGAAACCACGGTTCTCCTCTTTAATGAAATGGAGAAAAAGGTCACCACTGCCTTAGCGAGGATTCAAAACAAGGGCAATATTGTTGTTTCTGCTGGACAGCCATCCACCACTAAAGTCAACTAACTCAGATAAGTTAATCAATGGTTACTAAGCGTATGTCTTCATCATGTCTTGTAGCGGTACGAGGCAAGGAGTCATTTTTCAGCCTTCGCTTGCCTTATGAAGATTTTACATGGGTGACGACAAATTTTGCGAAAGTAAATTATTTTTTCACATTTTAGCGCTCCTAGTTTCGTGTTTTCATTACCTGTTCAATGAAACGAAACGAGGTCAGGCGGGGATGCCGGTTGAATGGTTGGGGTGATGGTCATTGTTTTATGGTATATCGTATTCAGCTTGTCAAACACGACTTATCTGGATTATGCTTTTATTTTATAGTTCTGTAATTAAATCTAAGCTGTGTTATCTTTAGCAGTAATATTCATCTCCTAAGATTCTTTGGGTTAGCCAAGGAATGATCAATAAAGTTTGCTGGGATAGTAAATAGCTACGATTTAGTATGTTAATGCAGAAGTAATACAGTGGACAAAAAAAGGAATAGAGCCCTTTAAGCCCTTTACACTGAAGCCTTGGCAAAGAGTATCTCCTCAGAGGTGAGCGGTCACTTCGCCCACGTGTCCACACACACACGTGTCCACGGTCAATTTGACTTACTTACGTGGTGCTCTCTTGGGCGCGAATCTCCACATAGCTGGCTAAAGGTTACTTTACAGTAAAACCCACTACTAAAACGTAAAAAAATAGAAATAAAAAAAATGGGAGAAAGAAACAGTGCAAACTAACTTGGAAATGTATTCATTCAAATTAAATTGTATTAAAAAATTACATATTACTGGTAAAAGATGTGAAAAGATACAGGAGACATGATACTTCAGTAATGACAAGAACAATGGTAATAAAGACAAAACAGTCGTTGTGACAATAATTCAAGTAAGGCTGATTATGACAGACACAATTATGATGATAATGATGATAATACAACGATTACGATGACAACAAACGATTATACCAAATGGCTTACATTTCTTTTTTTCCACGTCCCTGCTCAACTCGTCAACACTGCTCCATTCCCCTACTTTTTGTCAGTCACTTGTCTGCATGTTTTGTCTCCTTGTCGACGTCTCAGGTCAGCTCTTCCTCATTTATGGTTAACTCGTCAACTTCTTTGGTCAACTTGTCAACGCCTCTCATCAACTCGTCAACATCTTTGGTCAACTCGTCAACATCTTTGGTCAACTCGTCAACATCTTTGGTCAACTCGTCAACATCTTTGGTCAACTCGTCAACATCTTTGGTCAACTCGTCAACATCTTTGGTCAACTCGTCAACATCTTTGGTCAACTCGTCAACTCGTCAACTCGTCAACTTTCTTTTTCGATCACTCGTCCGCTTCCTTGGTCATCTCGCCAACTTTTATGGTCTACTAATCAACGGCTCTCGTCAATTCGTCTCCATCCTTGGTCACCTCGCCTTCATCTTTGGTCACCTTACCTCCATCTTTGGACCTTAAGTCGTCTTGCCTACATCTAAGTCACCTCGCCAACATCTTTGGTCACCTTGCGTACATCTTCGGTCAACTCTAACTTTTTGTGACAATTCATTGGCGTCTTTGATCAACTAGCCTTCACCTTAAGTAAACTCGCATCTACTTTTTAACCAGCCTATCTTAATGACTTGTTATGTTTCTTTTGATGTAAATAGTCTCTCAGGAAACAGCTAACGTCAGGGTCCATTTCAACACACCGCACCGATGACGCCTCAGTGAAATCTTCGGAAGAGCAACCATATTTCAATTTTTTTCAGAAAAAAATAGAATAAAATAACTGTAAGTAGCAAATAAACAACGACAAATTTGACGTTTACTTGACTTACTGTAGTTCCTTCCCTCTGGAAAGACTCTACAATGTTAGATCATTAAAAATTTGAAAAACTAACAAATAATGGTAAAACAATCTCTCACTTACACACTGCGCCAAATTCATCATCTTAACTAATACTGTGAAGAAGATGAGTTGACCCGAACGTAGGTGCGTTGACACGTCGGTGAAGTGACGGTTTACCTGATGAGGGACTCTTTCACTGGCTTGATTAAAGTTTCAGACGGTCTTCTTCAATAAGCTGAAAATAAAAGTTTTTTGTAGACCCAAATTTGATGAGAGTTTTAGAACGTCGTGTTTGGGAAGCTGATGATGATTCAACTGTAAAATTAGACCCAGCCGGAGAGCTCTTTGGCCTCTGTTCTACCTCTTGAAGCGACGGAGTTTTAGTTTTTGTTTATTTGTTTTGAAATCACGGCCTTTTATAATTGTTTTTGTCGCTCTTGCAAGCATAATAAGGATCAGCATGAAAAATTTCTTACCTCTTAAGTTAAAATTTATTAGAATTGCAAGCATGACTAAGATCGGTCCCATATAAGTTTGTACTAGTCGGCCTAAGTGATTTGTTCATTGCTTGACATCATAAACATGATTGTTGTTTTGTTTGTTTCATTTAGAAATGATCGTGACTCCAATACAAAGTAAGTGAAATCGCGCACAAGTTGTAATTCCAAGCACCTGGCAAATCCTCTTTTTGCTTACTAGGTAAGTCAGTAATACTTCGTCTCTCTGGTTAATTGAAGTAAACAGATGCCAAATTCAGAGATGAATATTCTGTTTTACGCTTTACCACTGTAGTGCTTCTTGATGGATTGTGCAACAACTTGCATCAAAGAAGTCGATCTTGTGGCGCAGTTGCTAAAAGAAGGTTCGAGGAAATTAATACACTTGCGCCTTGTTGCCTGAGAAGTCCCAGAATCTGAAACAAAACTACGGCTCACTCAGCGTGATTAGGAAAATTTAGCTTCATTTTATTAAACAAAACACTTTGTTCAGATCTGTTCTTTAAAATTTGTTTTCATAGTGAACCCAGATGCCTGCAGAAAACTCAGCCGTTGGCTATCAGTGTGTTGCTAGATGTCTTGGCTGCAACCGAGTTAACTTTTGAAGCCATCCTTTCCTTCAGATAAGTACATTATGTAATTTTTTGTTACATTTTGGTATGTTCTGTCACACTTCACTGTTAGCAGTTCAGCGTGATCGCAATGTTATCTCCTTTCGATAAGATCGATTTATCGTTAATTAATATTCATTAACTGTCTCGAGAGATTATCAACATCCTTCTCATTCAGATTATATTCTTCTGCCAAAATTTTGGAGCAATTGATTTGATAAACACAAAGTACGATTTAAGCCACACGTGATATACTAAACATTAGTCCAAGACTTTACTTAAAGGGAAACTGCTCTATAATAATAATAATAATAAGGACTTTATTTATAGAGGGGGACACGTAACAGCTGAAAAGCTGACAAACCTGTGGCCCTCTAACTAGATTATACAGCATTACAAAATAATACTAATAAATAGATAAATATACAAATAATTACAAAATTCTATGATAGAAATAGCAGGATATATTAAAAATATTCAGAAAGATAAAATTAATTTATAAAAAATTAAAATTAGATAATGTGCTATTGCTTAATATTGTTTCAAAGTTGTCCAGGTTTCTATATGAGCTTATAAAATACTTTTTCACAGCTGTTTTGAATAGTTTTATACTAGGCTTATTTTTGATATTATGGGGAAGGCTGTTCCATAACTTAACTGCGTCAACACTGACTGCCTTGCCACCATCGTTATTTCTTAGGTATTTGGGACACACTAAATTTAAATTGCCATGTCTAGTAGACCTATTGTGTACAGAACTGTTCGTCTTGAGCAAGTCTCTGATGTAAATCGGAACATCGCCTTTAAGGCTCTTAAAAATCATTGTACACTTATTTAGTTTGATTTCATCAAAAAAAGGCAACCAGCCTAGTTTACTAAAGTTTATAACACTTCTAGAATAAGAGTCAACTCCAAGAATTACTCGGGCAGCCCTTTTCTGTAACCTTAGGAGACAGTGGAGTTCTTTAGCGTCGCAGATATTCCAAACCATGCTCCCATACATAAGGACGGGTTTAATCAAGGCGTTATAGTATAAGAGTCTTTCTTTTATTGGAAGGTATCTCTTTATCTTCTTCAATAAACCAATACGCTGAGAAAGCTTGGCCTTTAGACTAGAAATGTGGTCGCTAAATGTAAGATCTTGATCGAGTGTTACACCAAGCAATTTATAAGAAGTTACTTGTTCTATTTCGGCCCCATCAAGGGTTATTGACAGGTGATTGCCATCCGCTAATGATGAATGTAGCCTCTTTCCGGTGATAAGTAATGCATTGGTTTTAACGGCGTTTAGGACCATCCCATTTTCGCTAGACCATTTACTTAATTTATCCATGTATTCTTGAAGACGTCGTTCCAATTCCAAAGGTGCATTATCGATATTAGCGCTGGCTTTAAATGTGGTGTCATCCGCGTAAGCATGAATAGTTGAGTCCGATCCAACAGCTTCGGGAAGATCATTGACGAAAATTAAAAACAGTAGAGGTCCTAATATGCTACCTTGAGGAACTCCATTGGTTAGCGTAAGTTGTGACGAAGTCGAGTTATTTACAGTAACACACTGTTTGCGATTGAGTAGATAGCTCTGCAATAGCTTTACAACATTATCTGGAAATCTATATGATCTTAACTTTACCAGGAGAATGTCATGATTGATCAAGTCGAATGCCTTGCTATAGTCCACAAAAACTAAGCCGCTGACGTTGTTCTTATCAAGGTCAAGAAGGACTTGGTCCAGAAGAAACAACAAAGCAGTATCCGTGGAGTGGTTTTTACGGAACCCTGATTGGAAGCGGTATAAAAGTGAATTTTCTGTTAAGTAGGTGTTCACAGCATTGAAGATGTGTCTTTCAAAGACTTTAGAAAGAATAGGCAAAATGCTAATAGGACGATAGTTTTGAATATCTTGCTTGTTTCCTTGATTCTTGAAAAGAGGTTTAACCTTTGCTATTTTCCATTGTGAGGGAAATGTACAAGTTTCAATACAGTGATTTATAATTTTAGCTATGGAGCATGATATTTCAGGAGCTGCAATCCTTAGAACTCTGGCACCAAGCCCATCGATTCCCGTGGCTTTGTGTGTAGGTATACTTAGAAGGTAATCGTTAACCTCACTAGGAGTTATTTGCGGAATAAGATTTTCAATTTGACTGTTAGATTTGTCTGGTGGACCAGGAAGAGCATCATAATGAAGTACAGGTGTCGAATTTATGAGACGTTTATATACATCAACGAAGAAGCGGTTAAAGCGTTCAGCGATTGAATGGTCATCCTTTATCAAGTTGTTGTTTTTCGACAACAATAGGGACGGAGTCGTCGTTATTCTTTGTATCTTTAGATAGGTCTTTAATTAAAGACCAAAGTTTCTTTGGACATTTTTGATTTTTACTGAACTGAGTTTTAAAGTACTGTTCCTTCGCATTTCTTAGTTTCCTCGTCACTTTGTTTTTAACCAGTTTAAAAGCAGACCAATCTTGCTTATTTTGTGTTCTCCTGGCCCTCTTTAGAAGATTATCGCGTTTATTTATTTCGTTGTATAGATCATTAGTGAACCATTTTGGCTGATTGATTTTCTTCACACTCTTGGACTTTAAAGGTGCGTGATTATCAAGAATGTCATTAAAGATTTTGTACCAAGATTCAACAATGTCATCGGCATCTCGAAAAACAAAGGAGATATCCCAAGGGGCTTCTCTTAGGTCTCGCAGAAAGCACTCTTTGTTGATTTTGTCGATATTTCTGTATTTGATTTTGGAATGTTGTTTACGTTGTGCATCCATGGTTTTGTAGCACCTCAAGATGGTGACCGGAAGGTGATCGGAAAGTCCAGATTTACCTATGGATACTTCTCTAATTCTAGCAGGATGACTAGAATAAATATGGTCTAAGCACGCATCAGAGGCAGGTCTTGTTACCCCATTTACCATCTGCGTTAGTCCAAGACTGTTCAGTGCCTTTGCGAGACAATGTTTTGAATAACAGTTGAAATCAATATAATCCAAATTAAAGTCTCCCAGAATAATCAATTCATTGTTTTGGAGATGGGCATTTTCAATATTTTTACCCAAGCTCTCATTATAATCTTTGTTGGCTGAAGGTGGACGGTAAACACCAGATATCAAAATCGGTCTCTTTGATTTATGAGGACAAATTTGAAGCCAGAGAGTTTCAAGATCATCCAGTTCCAAATCTCTTCGACGTAAAGCCATAACTTTCTCATTTACATACGCAAATATGCCGCCACCTTTCTTCCCGATTCGATCTTTTCTGTGTAATGTGTAGCCGGGTATCATGTAATAGCTGTCTGGAATTTTACTTGATCCGAACGTCTCAGTGAGAATTAAGACGTCGAGTTTAGCAGCACTGTTGTTGTTCGAGGTGAGCATTAGCGATAGTTCTTCCAATTTGGTGTCAGTCAGTCGTTGGATGTTCCAGTGGCAGACTGATAAACCTCTGAAGCCTGCAGGTGGTTGAAGATTATTAGGCCCTGGATTGACGGCAATATCGCCAGATAGAAGAATGCACAGACAAAATTGGCCAAGCTTGATGAACCGCAACAACGCGTGAAGCTTCAAATTCAATTCGCAAGGTGTGCATTTCGAAGGCTTTGACTTACAGTTGAACGTATGTGGAGCAGATATTTCCTTCCCAATGAAGAGTGTAACTGTAGAGCGATCGAATTCAGGTGTAATTGAAGTAAATTGGCCAAGTAAAACGCTGAAAATAGTCAATAGAAGCACGACTGCAAAAATATGTCTGCACGCCATGACTTTTTTCTTTTTCCAGCTGCTATATCGTTGGTAATAATCTCACAGAAGGCAATCTCGGTGACTTTTGGAAATTCTTCAATGTTCCACCATTAGGAATTTTTTTTAGTTTTAAGTAGAAACTGATGTGTTTACCTGTACGTGTTATATAGCGAACAACAGCTGTTTGAGTTTTCCAGCATGGGTCTAAACACCACAACAGACAGAGGCCTGTTTTGGGACCAGACAGTTTATTAATTGTATATATCCTAAGTAAATAACACACTAAACTATAACATAAAAAATATTGGACATACACACACTAAACTAGTTAATCAAGAGTAAATTACAAACACGAATGAGATTAAGATACAATCAAAACTGTCGATGATGTGGGTGGGAGGGAAACTAAAACTTTCTTAAAGCTAGAAATGAACTTGTTACTTGCTAGCTTGCTAGATTACTATAAGACGTGCACAGATACCTTGGCGGTAATGTACTAAAGTAATTTCGCAATTAGAACACGTTAGCATGGTGAATAGCCATTGGCTCAACTTGTATGCTGAACAAATTGCTCAATCTAAAGGAAATGGAAAATACTGATGTGCACCCTGCCTGTAATCGATGTCTAGATTCACATTGATAGAGATTAACATTCACAACACAACAGTAACTATTGCGGTCCTTTTAATTTTCTTCAATTTATGTTCGAAACAGATCGATTTGTCCTAAATTGTTAAAGGCGAGACAAATTTCGACAAAGATGTGCCTAGTAGATTTTGCACAGCAAGGTTATCTTCGTAAATTGATAATATGTAGTTGTCCTCAATCAGTTTTGCTGGCATAAGTGTCGAATGATAATTAAAAAGTTGAAAATAACAGTTAATTTAAAAAAAGGAAAAAAATAGGATTGGATGGTATCTAATTATAAAGTCGGTCATATATTTTACATGCTAACGCGCCGTAGAGTCAAAGCAATTTTTTTTATCCCTTTTTACATTGTTACGTTCTTTTTTACTTTTTACTTGTGGTTCTAATTTTTTTTTTTATTTTTGCACGCGTCTCATTTATTTACTTATGTTTGCTTGCGTTTGAGGTCCATAGCTTAACATTTGCCGATGCTTGCGATCGTGCTTAGCGTTTTTCGCTGACTTTTGCCTGCGTATAGAACTTGATATATTTACTAATGTTTGGTTCTATTTACAACTTTATGTATCAAGCTTTGTTTGCTTGCTTTTAAAACTTTGTATTTCTACTAATATGGGTGTAGTTGACAGCTGTTTGCTTATGTTTAATTTGCTACTAGTTTATGTACTTACAGATGTTTGCTAGAAGTTAGCAGGCATGTGTTTTGGTGTTACACAGTTTGCCTTTTCTGTCTGATGTTTGCCTGACGTCATAGCATTTACCTGCGGTTGCATTTGTATATTGCTGTTTGCATTTTCTTGCTGATGTGTGATTCTTTTCTGCGTTCATGATTCATCGCTATCGATTGTTTTCTTGCGGTTTACATTTATTTTGTTGCTTGCTTGGAGTTTGCAACTCTCGAGATTGTTATTTTTCTCGCGATGTGCCTTGCGTTTTTTTGTTTGCTGAGCTTACGTTCTTTATTTGCGGCTTGCGTTTATTCACCGATTCTTGTTTGCGTTGCGCACTTAATTTCTATTTGCTTGTCTTTCACAAACATTACTGGTGTTATCTTGCCTATAGAATTACTTTAATTAATTACTGTTGTTAGCTTGCAGTCTGTATTTATTCATAGTTGTTTCTTACAGTTTACATTTATCTATTGTTCTCTACTTCCGGTTTGCACAAATTATTTGACATTGTCAGATACTGGTTTACAGTTATTTGCTTTTTGGTTGATTATTTTCTGTTTACTTGTGCTTTTCATTTATTAGCTACTGTTGTTTACTTGTTTTTTGCCATTACTACCCATGTTTGCTTGCGTATAGAATTCTATGCATACTTGCGCTTCGCGTTTATTTTCTGATGTTTTGGTGCATATTGAGCTTCATCTATTTACTGCTGTATGCATGCTGCTTGCATGCGGTTCACATTTATTTACCAATGTTTTATTGCATATGTAGAACTTTATTTGCTTGCGGTTTGTTTTGTTTACTGTAATTAAGATACTCCGTGCAATGAACTCTTTCAGTGATATGATGCGAGCTTGAAATCTGCATAATTTAGTTTCGTGTCTTTTGTGTTTATTCGTTTATAGAGCTTATTTGCTCATTTTTTATCTCACTCTCTCACGTGTTGTATATTTAGGAATCATTTTAGTAAGTCTTCAATGGTAAAACGCTGTCTCTACTTTACAACAGTTTACACTATTACTGATGTTCGCTCTCATGTGGATTTTAATATGTTGACTGATGTTTGTTTGATTGAGATAGAACTTTATCCATTAACAAATGTTGGCGTGCGGTTCGCATTCGTTTACGTATGTTTGCTTGCTTATAGAACCTAAAATATTGATTAATGTTTACTCAGTTGTGGTTTGCATCATTAAGTGACGTTTGCTTTCGGTGTGAATCCCTTTATATTGACTGATATTTGCTCAAGGGAGGCATTTACTGTTGTTTACTTGCACATAGGACTTTTATAATGTTTTGTCTGATGTTTGCTTGCACTTCGCGATTATTTAATGCTGTTTACCTCTACATAAGACTCTATCCATTGACTAAAGTTTGATTGCACTCTACATTATTTACTGTGGCTTTCTTATGTGCTTGCCACTAACTAATTTCTGTTTGCCGTTTGCATTTAGTTATTGTTGTTTGCTTGCGATGCGCATTTATTTAATGTTGTTCCCGTGCCTTTTGCATTTTTCTAACCGGCGACCTGCATATATCTACTGCGGTCTTCTGAAATTTCACAGAACTATGACAAAGTTGCTTATTAAAGGAGTTTGATTCCTAGAAAAGTTTTTTTGATTTAAAGTTTTCTTTACATGTTGTAAAATTCTTGAGCAGAGGGGGTATACCTTTCTATCCTTTTAAACTGCGTTGTCGTTGAGATGAAAAATTGACTTTAAAATAATTGGAATTTGCAGCTCAGTCTTTTTCTTCAATACAATATATGTAAAATAAACGCTACGTAGTGCCAATTGTGTAATCAGTTTAGCTTAGATGATAGAACCTATCCATTGTGATCGGATCAGGCAATCTCAAAAGAGACAAAAAGCACTCCGAGCAGAACTCTGAGTCAAAGCCCAAACAAGGCACCAAACACAGGCAAAGGAAAATGAGAGAGTTACGATTGGTTTTATTTTGACGACTGCATAAAAAAGTGGCTGGAATTTCAAAATCATTCGAAAATCAAATCATTCGATCGAACGTTTCTCAGATGTAAACGAGATTTTTTCCAAATTTAGATTTGCAACGTATACAATTTAACATATCGTCGCCCCATAAGATATCAATTCGCAACGCATAATTTAAGTTAGACAGTCAATCAACATCTTAATAATGTGAATTTGATCTAATAAACTGCTTTGTTTGATTATTTCGACAGATTCTCGATCAGCGCTGCGTTAGTCAACGATGAAAGGAACTTTCGATGGACACCATTAACATAACGTGCCACAGTTAATCAACAAAGCTTTCCTGAAAACTGATAACGGGACATACTCGCTGATAGTGGCTTATCCTGTAAACTGTCGTTTTAAAAAACTGTGTAAATAGTTCAAGCTTAAATTCTATAGCGAAGATATCTGCATCGAAAAAAAGAAATATTATTTTTACAAGAAACAACGGTGTAACTTCGCTCACTCAAACTATAAGGGGAATGTTTTCTTTTTAATACTAGAAGGATCAGTCAGCACATAAGCCGAATAAAATTACTTCAAGGGATAAGTGTTCAAGTTACAATAGGCCGAAATTTAGAACTACCTGACCGAATTAGAGTCGCATTAACAAAGTCATAGGACATTAATATCCTCAAGGCCAATCTTCATCTGAAGTACAGCAAATGTTTTGGGCGAAATAAAGGCCAAGCCAAAAATAAGCCCAAAGCACCTTCCTTTTAATGAACATGTGCATTAATCATTGAACAAAATAAAAAAAAATATCCCGCACAACCTAATTAGGGTTTGTGCGAAACAACGTGTGTCATGAGCCTTATTCATTATTAAATTAAATTTTGCCAGATTCAATGTATAAAGTGTCGCTTCTATTTGATTCCTTTGCCCCGAAAAACGAGTCATTCCTCCCACTATGGAACAAGGTCATTTTGTTTGTTGGGGAGTGTTAACATCAAGAGTTTGGGAGTGGAAGGCAAAACAGTTTTGAAGCACTAGCTAAGCAAAGTCCTAATACAAAATTTATGCCCACCAGCTAAAAAGCGGTTCATGAAATGAAGGGAGTATCAACAAGTATGATAAATGGTTTCGTCATCTTTACTTCAGTGTTTCGTATACAACTCTTTCCATAGACCGACCAGCAAAACTGACTAATTATGTACTATGTACGTAACACGTGGCAAAAAAGGCGAGACAACTTGAGAAAAGTACTTGATACACACACCATGGGATGATAACCGCACTAATCATGAAAAATTACAATTTTCTCGATTTTGATTGGTTTAAAACTCTTATTTTCCGCTAATTCACTTGCCAAGTCGTTATCGGACAGTTCGTTATCGAACAATTTAATCAGCGAATCGCATTCAAAATTTTACTTTAAATAAACCAATCACATTCAAAGTTTTAGGTTAAATAAACCAATCACAATTTCTCCAATAACTTAGCTAATCTTAATTTCGCAGAAATTGCAATTTTTATGATTAATTGGTAATAAGACTTCATTTCGTCCAAATCGGCCTCTAATCATACTCGTGACTATAACAAATAAGACTCCCGCTGTGCAGTTCTCCCATTTCGTTCTCACTCGTATAATTAAGACCGATTTCAACTCCACTCAGTCCTACTACCATTATAAAAAAGTTTCTTTTAAATAAAATGATAATAATAAACTTGGATTAATCCAACAAAAAAAATTCTCAATTTTATGTAGTCA